ACAGCGGTTCGAGTCCAGCCCGAGCTGAGCAGCCGCTGAGCTGCCAACAGGTAGCAGGATGGCTCAGCTAAAAAAAAACCAAACAAACAAACAAACAAACAAACAAACAAAAAAGGTAATCTTCAAAACAGTTCATTAATATTATAATGAATTAATTGTATGTTTATAGAAATAATACTAACATAACAGAATCTGAATTGAGATTTTACTGTCATTCCTTTCTATAATTCTCAGATTCCCACCTCACCCATGCAATAGCTGACAATGGAGTATGTTTACAAGGTTTAGCAGGTTATATTGCACCATGTGGTCCTGGTGGAATGTGGGAAAAGAACCTAGGCACTTTAAAACATTTGCCTTTCTTGGAGGGGGGGAACGAGGAAGATTTGTGTCTCTGTATAATACACTGCTTTACCACTGTTTTCGGGTACCACCTGCACTGAGAGGGATGGGTATGGCTCCAAGTAACAAAGTTGCACTCTCATCCAATATAAGAACGTGGCAGAGAATTTCTCTGAAAAGATACTATTGGAACAAACACAAAAAACAATAGTCAACGTCCCCCCTCAGCTTTAAGCCCTCTCTCTTCCTGAAGTGATCAATTTCAATAACGCTTATCAGTTAAGTCGTATAACTCCAATTAAGAAAGTGTCATCAATGACCATATATAGCTCGATTATTCTTGCTAATGCTGTGTCTTCAGGGAGCAAATTCTCTAGTAATATGTCTTTTCCTCCTTAGCAAATTATAATTTCCATTCAAATTTTGCATTTCTCACTCTCTTTCGGGTAAGAAATCTCTCTTTTTATTCTTTGAGTGAAAAAAATATCATGCTAATTTGTTTTTGTTGATGGAATAACATGTATCATTGTATTCAAAGAGTTGTTTTAAAATATGTTCCAAATTACCTTTTAAAATATATGGAGATTTGGCAACATGTTGACCTTGGAATTTGACTTCTACCTTCAGATTTTTGTAGCTTGCATACATTCTGTATCTTACTATGAAGGAACCATCCTTTCGGTCCAAAACCTGGACTCCAACTCTGGTGAATTGCTCCTCTGGTGCTGAGATTTTAATCTGGAACACCTTTTCACCTGGAGAAGATGTGAACCTGTGATGGGAAGAATAATCATTATATAAAGATTATTTTAAGGAACAAATGCACACAGATTATGCTCTCCTGTCTGTGAACTTTACTATTCTCCTCCATGTCCCCCCCACCCCTGCCCCAACATATACTTGCTTCTTCTCTCTTATGTTTTTAGTACCAGAATAAATATGATGGATCAGAGATTTTAAAAAAAGATGATGACAATGGCCAAGATAACATAAAACAGTTTCATTAGAAAATTGCATGCGACTAGGTTAAGACTACTAATCTATGTGCATATAGAACATATTTATGCATCCCACATATAAAAATATCCTTACCAACCTACCACTTATTCCATGTCCATCACATCTGGAAATTTGTGATCAAATACAGCCTCTAAAGATCTTTTGAAAAATCTCTCAATGGTTCTTTTAAAAAATTAGTATTATAAATCATGCCCAGCCATGGGCAAAAGCCAGTAGGTAGTGTATCATCTAAATGACACTGTATGAAAGGTTTTTTTGAGTGAGTACTCTTGCTTTTGAGATTAAGATGGTATTTAGTTTCCTCAATTGTACTATTTATAACCTTTTCCTTTGCTTTGGAAAATTTATTCCCAAGACTTTTTTTCCTACAAAATATACACAGTCAGCAACCACTAATAAATAAGACAATCATTTCAGAGGAATGTGCATTCTAGAAATAAGTTTTGCGTATAATTTCAATTGTTGGGTTGAGTGGGATGAAATACACACTTGTTACAAATAGGAGATTTATACTTTGATACTTTCCCTCTAAACTCTAAAGTTTCAAGTAGTGCTTGATTTTTCTTTTCTAGTTTCAAAGCACAGCGAGCGTGCTTACCTGCAGATGTCCACCTGGAAACAGAGTGCAGCACCAGAACAGGATGAAACCAAGTTTCTAACAACTGGATTTCAACTCTTTCTGACAACTTATGCAAAAGCAGTTACAAGTACTTTCAGCAAAGTAGTGGGGCTTTGGCTTTCCAGTCATGGGGATCTCTATCAAAATAGCTTGGAGAAAAGGTAATTCGAAATTACTTCTAAAGCTACACTGAAAGATTGTAAAGGCTGATACAACCAGATGTGGATAGCACCCAAATATCTGGAATTTAAACTGCTGTGGAGAAACAAGTTCTTGGGCGGATAAAACCTGACGGAAGAAACAGTAAGTTTAACTGCATTCCAATTAAGGAGCTGTTTCGTGACTTACTTCTCTCCTGACGTATCCACTGCCTGAATATAGAAATAGCGCGCAGGCAGGACAACAGCGGCTTTTAGCCCAGGTCCCCATATTTCGCTCTTCTCCGGGCTCAGTCGCCTCTCTTCGCCGGTCTTGGCAAGTGCTGGAACTGGCCCCAGAAAGAAGCAGTAAAGCAGCAAAATGCTAAACATTTACAAGACGGACTATCCAAATGATCCACGGATAAATTAAGTGTAAGAGGCGGACGAATCGAGCCGCGGTTTGGGCAGGGCACGTTGGCCGACTGCAGCGGCAAACACGGTTCCAAGAGGTGTCGCTTACTGTGCTGGGCAGGCGTGTGGGTCGCCCCTTTCCCCAGAAAAATCACAACCCGAGCGCTGGCTTGTCTAGCGGAAGGAAGCCAGTCGTTCTGCTGAGATGGGCAAGAATCACGCCGCTCCTCTTTCTCGGGACAATGATAAATTTGCGTTGCTCTTGCAACTGGAGCATCATTGGGGGCGAAGCCGCCTCAAGTTCCAGCCCAAGGTGCAGGGCGAGGCGATTGGCCCCGCGCGTCGGGCCGGGCTGAGTAAGGCTTTCTCCAAGTGGATGGTGGAGTGGACACGCGTCCCGGAGCCAAGGCTTCCTGGGACATGTAGTTTGCGACAGGGACTAGCGGAAATCCTGCAAGGTTTTGGCATCTCTCACTGATTTATTTACGTTGCAGTCACCGCTTTCAGAAAAACAGATAACTACTAGATGCCCGATAGTAGGGCCGGCGAGTCTGGATGCACAGCTAAGATTTTTTTTTTCTAATTGTTACAATATTCTCCGCACGTGCAGGTACAAAACACGATGAAAGGAAGGTATTAATGACTGGTCTCCAGGCACAGCCGTCCAGTGCGCTGTCCCCGCAAGCTCCGATGGGAGTAGAGACGCGAGCCCCAGGGTAACCCGAAGAGCGTCGCGGGCCGCGCGCTGGAAGCTGTGATCTCTGTGTGGGTTCCGCCGCTATTTCGTCGCAGCAGCAGCGACCCGACCCCAATGGACAGGCTTAGAGGTATCTGGAGCTATGGGCAGGACCGAAGTGGTGGCCCGCAGCTGTGTGCCCAGCACTCCGAGCCTTGCGCCAGGCACCCGGGCTCCGCGGGCCGGGCCTAGTGCGGCCCGCCTGTCTTATGCGCCCCCAACGCTGCCCAGGCTGCCAGGGGCCATGGCCGTCCGAGTGGAGGTCACTACGTTGGTGCCCGGTGTCCCGGGAAAAACGTGGGGTGAAGAGCTGGGCCTCAGGATGGAGGGAAGTACTAGGGAGCCAAGGGACCAATCCTCTATGGAACAAAGCCTGATTTGGAGGCGCCAGTGCGGGTCCTGGTGGCTCCTGCCTGGCAACCGTCTCCCGCCACGCTCAGCAGGCCCCGGGTCTGGAGCGTGCAGTTGCAACCCCTCGCTTTTGCACGGCCGCCCCGCGGCCAGGGCGGTCACCAGTAGGAGCCACGGTCAGCTCGGGAATCAGACCCGGAGCCTCTCTCCCTCCCTCCCTCCCACTCTCGACCTTGCCAGCTGCCCCGAAAACCCAGACGGGCCCGGTAGCTCCGCCAACCAAAGCGGGCCTGTGCGGGGGTTTCCTTTTCTGTTTTCTCTTTTGCCATTGTCATTAGTAATGATATGTATTCGTGCATTCCCAAGCTCGAATCGGGGCTCCCTCTTCGCCCTGGGAAGACTGCCCGCTTTCCACCCGCCCAGGCGCCTTGAGCGCCCTGAGCGTCCCAGGGCGGGTTGCGGGAGGTCGGCGCGCCAGCCTCCGCCCACTCCCCCTGGCGGCAAACTCCAGCTTCCGGCCGGGGAGGGGGGGCTGGAGGAGGGACTTGGAGGCCTGGCTGCGGGGACGCAGCGGGACGCCAGGCCTTTGGGAGGGCGGGCGCGCGGGCCCGTGTGGCGGCCGGAGGGGGACGGACAGAGGGCGCAGCGGCGCTCCTTCCTCTCGGCTGGCGCCGCTTTCGCACCGCGCACACCGGATCCGCGCGGCAGGCACTGGCCTGCGCTGCTGTCCCCTCCATCCCGGAGGCCTCCAGGCCCGGCGGTGCTGCGCGAGCTGCGCAGAAGAGGGCGGTGGGAACTCCGCTCGCTGCCCCCGGAGCTTAGGCTCGTCTCTGGCCGGTCCGCGGAAGGACCCCTGGTATCCATCCGAGGCCTGCGGCCTCTGCGGGGCGAGGGGCTCAGGTCTGATGGAGGAGGACGCCCGGGGAACGTTTGGGGGGGTCGGAGGGCGGAGAGGGAGTGGGGGGTAAGGACCGAGACCATACCCGCTGGGGCTTAGTGCATCTGGTGTGGCCCTCAGGCATTTCACCCTCAGTAAGTCACTTACCTGCTTCTGAGTTTCAGTGGCCTCACATACAGAATATTGATCGTAGTAGTCGTCATGTGTGGAAAGCTTTACTGAAGAGACTTTAAGATGTTTAGTTCTCTAAGCAAACTTGATCCTTAAAAATACTGATTTAAAATATAACTGGAAAAGAATGTGACCTAGGCAATGAATATTGATTGACCTTACAAATGGAACGTTTATTTTGCAAAACAGCTCCTCTGATTTTTAAAAATCGGTACTCTAACGGGGCATTTAGAGCTGGCTATTTTATAAAATTTTGTTTGCACACAGTTAAACAACACTTTTGTTGCTTGTACCATGATCTTATGAATATATCATTAAATTGAGCCTTAGGTACGGTAGTCATTCTTATTAGTAAATCTTAATCCAGCATCGATCGTCTTGCCAGGATTAGGGAACCTCAGTTATCACAGGTGAGTAATGGGAGAAAGCTACAGAGTAGGAGAGGATGCCCTCTGGCTGAAACTCCTGGTCTGAAGGCCACTCTTGGTAAGCCCTCCTGGAATCTAGGCTCTTAATCTGGGGTTTACAATAATGCCTGGCATGATGTAGGCACTTAAAAGTTAAGTATTTGTTGATGGTAGTTCTACAAATGCTGGGCCCGAGGGTTACAGTAATCAGGAAAAACAGACTTGCAAGAGGCAGACATTCATCTATACACACGTATAAATATAAAATGGCACCCTGGTTAAGACCTGAAAGAAAGATACCTGAGCATCCATACAGGATGACCTGGTGTATTTGAGGAGCAAAGAAAGTATCCCCAGAAAGCGACCTTTGAAGGATATCTGAAGGATAAATGAGAACTAAATAAAGGTGGGTGGGAGTAGATAGCATTCAGAGAATGGGAAGTTGGTCAGATTGGGGGAGTGCAGAGGAAAAGGGGAGAGGGCGAATGAGGGGGGGCCAGATAGGAGTTGGCTTTTGGTTCTAACAGCAGAGAGTTTTAGGCTGATGTATGTATACATACTTAATTTTCTAATATCTATGTACAGGTCAGATTTGAAGTGTCAATTTATGGGGATGAAGCAGGGGGTGGGAGGAGCTAGGAGTGGGAATGGTATTGGGAATGGTTTATAGAAATAGGGACCAAAGCAGATACAGGTGTGACAAATTGTGAGAGCTGAGAGCTATGTAGTGAAGGGACAAACTGCCTCTCTAATACCTCGCTATTTCCTGAGGCTATAATTATAATGCAATATAATTTGCATCTGTTAGTGATTCTTACCAGTAATAACTTGTGCTTAGTTCAATTGTAAGAAAGCCTGAGGATACAATAAGACAAGTGCCCTTGGCCTCAGGAAGATCTCACTGAAGTGGGGTGAAAAGACAAGGATCAGACAGATAACAAGGATAAAAAAAATACCACTATAGCAGTGCTTGGTCATGGGATTTAGATAATTTTCACTTTTTCTGTACTATCTTTTGGTACTCTGCAATGTTTTCTGTAATTTATTTTACTTTTGTGATAAAATGTATAAATATTACAGTTTTTCTAAGAGAAATTTCCACAAACAGTGGTTCAATGAGAAAGTTTTCATACCACTAAGTTTACTCTTGGGTTTTATTGACAATCAATATAATATATGCCGTTATGTTGAGGATCTTCAGTTTTTGATAAATTGCAACCGAAGGGATGGTTCTTGGTTGGTGACTTCTATTTAAAAGCAGACAAACCCAAAACACAAACAAAAGAAAATCAAAAACTGTTAAACTTTTTATTAATCAAGTGCTATGTTCTTTCTTGTCTTTAGCTTTAGGAAACTTAGCCCTTTTGTGTGCAAATGCAGTAATTTTCCTTTGCATATGTGTTTGATAAAAATATTTTCCTATATATGTTCCAATGAGCATCTTTTATAAAATTCCCATACTGTCACTCATGGAGCTGGTCTCACAGACAAAATTCCATTAGCTCGGAAGAAGGAAGCTCTGGCAAAGTGGAAGCTAAGCTTGAGATGAAGAGACAGCAAGGGCAGCCCCTAGAACATTTCTGTCTCTCCCACCAGACTATCTCCTTACCATGACTGTGCATTGTCTTTCATGCCTCATCCTGCTACAACCCATCCACACAACCCCAATGCTACAAATAATAAACCACATTGGCTCTTAAGAAAGGCATGAGGATAACAGATATGTAGAAAATGTTCCTCTAGGACAGTGGTTCTCAACCTGTGGGTCGCGACCCCTTTGGGGGTCGAACGACCCTTTCACAGGGGTTGCCTAAGACCATTGGAAAACAAAAAGATATTTACATTACAATTCATAACAGTAGCAAAATTACAGTTATAGAGTAGCAACGAAAATAATTTTATGGTTGGGGGTCACCACAACATGAGGAACTGTATTAAGGGGTCGCGCGCGGCATTAGGAAGGTTGAGAACCGCTGCTCTAGGACATCTACTCAGAATCAGAAAAAACAACCCTCCGAAAAGCCCAGAGTTTGGACTGTACAACCTTAGCTACTCAGCTTCTCTTTGCATCTTCCTCCTCTGTCACCGTCACGCCAGGAGTTGAGGAAGCAGGAGACAGCGTAACAGATTCCTGTTTAGAGATCCACTACTCTTAGTCCTAGGATTTCTTGAGTAAAAAAGTTTCCAGAGTGAATCCATGAGAGGTTCCATCTTTGGTGGTGAAGCTCCTGCCAACAGACCCTCCTGCCAATAACTATAAACTCTGCACAAATGACTAGAAAATCATTCCCTGAAGGTTCTAAATAGAGAGCATCTAAGCATTTCTTAAAAATAAATAAAATGGAATCTGTTCTAGGATATGTGGAGTCCTCCTGATATGGAGGCCTCTTTCCTTAAATTACATGAAGGACATGTAGAACTTTCCATTAGTTTGTCCTCACACACTCAGGGTAATCATCTTCATAGGTTTTTGCTGTTCAGTATTTGTATGATGGGTTTTATATAATTGTTTTCCTGTAACCTGTGAAACTTATTTCTAATTTTCTTAAGTAAGCAAATGGGCAGAGGTATTAATGGGCAAAGATCAGACTGGTCACCCGGGGTGAGCTGAATCTCTGTAGTGCTGCTCCCTCTCTAGAGCCCTATATGCTCTGCTCTGGCACTGGCATCAGGTCGCGCGGTATACACCACCTGTAACGGGTTTCTTCGCCAGGGTCTTCCTTTTGTATAAGTCGTCAGCTTCCTTGGTGTTCTTGGTTGCTATGTAAACTTTTCT